TAGACTATAATGATAGTTGATAGTGTCTAGTTAGTTGGCTGTGACACATGGCAGGCAAATGTTGACTGGAAACTGTGACTGCCAATGTAGGGCCCTATATATTTGTGTGAGCTTTCAACTACATATGCAGGTGATAGATAGTGTTCCCATCTCTTAGCCAAAGAACTCAGCTTAGAATTCAACGTGCTCTAAACTTTAAACTTTAAACATTGAATTGACCATGTGTGGTTGTTGTTTGTTTACAGCTCAGTCCAAACCAAGTGGTACTAGCTTTGCCCAAAAAGCACTCGTCACCCAATCACAGATTCCAGCCATGCCACAGACTGACACTGTTTACAGCCATCCTCAAGCATGCGGGAGAACAACTCACATATTGATGCACGAACCTGAGTCCAGTGTTACAGCAAGTTGACTCATATGACTCATGAGACATGAGTCCAAGCACACATTTTTTTTGGTTGGCATCTGAAATGGTGTGTTCGACTCTCAATCTGAACTTCTGAACTTTCAACTTTCAACAGTATTCAGAACTTTGGAATTGGCAAACTTCAATCTGTCCAAAAGCTCTATCGAAAATATGATAAATGATATCGATTAAAAAAAAAACATACAACTTGACTCGACCAAATATTGCCCTAGTTGCCTTGGCGATATGTGTTGTGCAAGCATTCAACCAGAAGCCAAGGGAGTTCAAGGAAAACATAGTCGGTGACTTGTTTTGTTGCTTGGACAGTGAAAACCGTGGTTGCGTTGGCGTTCTTGTAGAAGATCGAATGGCGCTCAACCGAATAGCGTTGCCAAACCTGAGTCAGAAAAGATGCAGGCGCAACCAAATCTTGGAGTTTGAGTGTGTGGGGTGTGGTATCGGTACAGATTACTATTATTGCTATGCTATATTATGATTTATGATCTATATTTCTTTATGAAAGTATAGCTTATGTCTAGTGTTTAGCAGGGTCTGTGCTGCAACAACCAGTCTCAGTCCGAATATGATTTCCTTGCAAGATAACTTAGCACACACACACACCACAATGCCACTAAGTATTAGCAACGAGTTTGTTTTTTTAGTTTTAAATGTTCTTCTGAGACCTGCAAGTGATATTGGATTCATAAGTTCATGAATGACACGATTTGCAACTTGTAATTCATGGTGAATGAACAAACAGACCTGTGAATTCAAGAAACGAAGCACGTAGCATCGCTTGGTGTGTCCAGCATTTGTATTTTCCTTTGCCCTTCACCCCTGTTTTCCTGCCACCAGCCCTGGATGTTGTCACTGCCCTGGCCGCGTCAGCTTTGCGAACAGCATGCTTGTCTATGTACTCGTCGACCACACTCCTGTATAGCTTAGGATTGCTTTAGCTGTTTTGCTATTAGGATTTTTGACTCTTTGACACAAATGAATAAGATGAAGACAATCTCTTGAAATACATTGTACATTGATCGCGACAATTTCATTCCAGTTCACAGCATTTTTAAATCAGGAAACTAATATGTACACAAGTCATGAAAGTGACCAGTTGAATGACATAGCAAGAAGAACAAGTCACACATACAATGGAACTACAACAACTAGATCCACAGTTATAGTTGTTGTATTCCAGCTTCAGCTGAATCAGTCCTGAATTGGCTCACCTTTGCATCAGCTGCTCTCTGAGTCTTGGCCAGCTGTCGACCTTATACCAAGAGAAAACAATCACCTATGAATGAGCAACAACTCCAAAGAAAACAAATTGACACATCTTGAAGCTTAAGCCTGAATTCATTCGTCAAGGAAATCTCACTCAAAAGAACTATATATGTAGGATTGCATTGTATAGGTCTTCTAGATTTCTAGATTCAATAGAATAGAAAACGATGTACAGTACAGAATGTCTCAACACTACATCAAATCTAACCCTCGCATAAAAACAACATAACAGAGCCAATTTTTTGCAATCTGCTTCCCCAGCAGAAAGAGGTAATGCGACTTGCGCTCGATTGAAAGATCAAGTACACTAGGAGCACAGGAAGTAGCATCTGTCAACAGTCATGAGTCATAAGCATAAGGGCACCGACTTGAAAGCACACACTACGGCTCAATGTTCAATTGAGTTAGTTCTGAATCATACAAGTCAATTGGCCACCAATCTCCTGCTCCACTTGTCCTATTTCAAATTTCACTCAAGACTCAAGACCCGAGTGGATTGATGAAGCATGATTTCACCGCTTCTAATCCATTTTGCGTTTCTTCTTCGCCACCTCATGGTTGCAATCTCCTTTCTTGTCCTCGTTCTCTACATTGTAGGAGTTTTGGTTGTTGCAGGATCGTTGGCAAGAAGCAAATGAACGCTTCATTGGCGGAGTTTGCATCAAGTAAGGTGACTCTGACAGTTTCTTGGTAGAAGCTTTTGGTGTAGCAGCAAACGCACAAGAATTGGCATCAGCATCATTCTCATCCGCGCCAACTGGGTCTTGATCTTCTTTAGCTTTGCGTTGGCGAGCGGGTGCTTGTGGTGTCAGTGGATGTGCATTCCTTGGGCTGGGGGTAGCCTTAGGAGATGCATTTGCATGAGGAGCCAAGACTTTCATGACATACTTGATGGACCCTGGTCGAAGATCTCCCTGGAGAGGCCATCCTCGTTCTAGCCAAACACGCCTCCTCCATAAGATATGTTCAGGAGTAGGTGCATCTTCAAACATGTATTTGGCTGGATTCCCTGGGCTGGGACCATCGGATGGCAATGAACTCATGGCCTTCCGTTCCGCAATGGTGTTTGGCGACAGCTCTCCGTCCTTCATGGCTGATTCTAGGAAGAAAGCCACGAAAGTGCCAACAACTTGAGCATACAAATAGCTGAGTAATTCAATATCCAACCAGGAGAAATATAAGTCATCTCATATCATATCTAGCTACTGGCCACCCATAGGTATTGTATTGAACTAGACTTGGAAAGAACAAGTAGAGAAACCACCACACAAGGTCTTGGTCTCCCGACATTTCTTTAGGAAGACTCCAGATCGGACACTAGCTTTGGGACGACGTTCTGCTTCCTCATCAGAGTTAGATGAAAGCCGCGCCAATATCTCATTGAATTCATGTGCCATGGCTGGCTGTGTTGGTGCGCCCCAAGAACAATGAATAAAGGTTCATTTGTTCTGTTGGGTAGTCACAGTTGTTGGAATCTACCTGTAGCAGTGTAGGCTGGAATGTTTAAAGTTTAAAGTTTAAACAAATACAAATAAAACTTTGCTTGGCTGATGTTGATGTTCTCACCAGGGAACTCGTTTTATTTGTTTAAAAAATATATATAGCATGATTGCTTTGGCCATAGTCTAACAATGCTATGTCTATGTGATTTGCCTTCGTCTGTGTGCTTTGGCTTTGATTCAGAAAAAACTGAAACACACTACCACTTTGACTTAATCTGATGTGTTGTTGTTGTTGTTGTTGTTGTTGTTGTTGTTGTTGTGGTTCTTGTTTATTGTCCGCTGGTGTTTCTTTGCTGTCATTGAGTCTGCAAAGCTCCCCCATGTCAAACAAATAAATGGCTGCAACTAAGTCCTGGAGCGAGTGTGAACTGGTCTTGCAACTTGAAACTGGTCTTTCAATGCGTTTCAGTTGGCTCTCTTCAGTGATTCTCCTTCCTTCCAACAAACCACTTTCACACGTTGACTAACGTCAACCATGCATTGTGAAATTATATAATGCATGAATCCATGAACATACTGTGGGAGAGAGATTTACGAGTTACGTTTTGTATTGCCCGACCCACACCAAAACTCTTTAGTGATTCAGAGTGATTCACCTTCCTTCCAACAAACCACCTTCAGGGTGGACTACTGTCAACACCATGAGTTATAAAAATATATGAATCTCTGGGAGTCTGAGTGAGTTACGAGTTGCAAGTTAGATCGAGTTAGTGTTTATTGTCCCGACCACACCTAAACTTGTGTGCTCAGTGCTGAGTGTTATCTATTTCATTCTGCCATGTCACAGGTGCACAACCATACAACTTAGCACAACCCACACATCGCCTTTCCAAAATGACACATCGCATGTCCTATCACACCGACTACCACACAACAGAGTCGTGCAGCGCACGCGCATCGCACAACCTATCGCACAACGCACTGTACACAACAGTCGCACACGCACAACAGACTGCACGTGAGAATCGTACATTGCCAAAGCCACCGCGTACATTGATCGCACATCGCACAGCTTGTTGCACACTGTAGTCGTGCATGTCCAACGTACTAGACGTGGAGTGATCACCAAGAATCATAGCTCACATGGCTTCTGAATTTAGATAAATTATTTGGGTGAGATGTTATTTGGATGAGCTCACTAGCCATCTCCAGCCCAAAGAAAGGATCCACACTCCCCTTTCCTGTCAGAGCCCATGCTACTGATGGTGGTTGTGAGTGACACAGCTTGAGGTATGCACTGACTAAAGGCTTCCGTAGACATTATTCTTGTTCAAAGCCACCAACAGAGTCCTCGGACAATTAGCTCAACATTGAGGTTTTTCATCTTCTTCTGCACGACAACCTGGGCGCGGGGATGTCGCAACTGAGGTTCCCACAACATACCAAAGCATGATAATGACATGCCCCTGATCGCCTTCTTTAAGGCAAGTTCAGTTGAATTAAACATACATCCGAGCATCATGGCCTAGCGATGCAACACTGCCGGAAGAGGTATACTGTTGCTCTAGCGTAGTAATGCGGCGATGTGTGTGGCCAAATTATCAAGAGATTGAGGCAATGACGCTGGCATCAACGTTCTCGATCAGTGCGTTTGGGATGATATCCTGAACAAAGACTATACAATGCCACCACCGTTCCTCCATCACTATTGACATCATTTGACATCTATTGGCCCTTACAAGGGGATGAGACATCAGGGAAACAGGCTCTGTGGCTAGCCAATGCCATCTGTTAAACGTCTGCCAGGCTTCATTCACCTTCATTCCAACCAGCCGCCACCAAGAAGGCCCACTTTCACCACAAACCCTTCACGAAGCATCACGAAGCCCAGGCGAACTCACTGAGTCGAACTCACTGAGTTCGCTCTCCCAGTCCTTCGTCTGACTGAAGGCCCATTCGCTGATCATGTTCAAGACCTGTCCCTTGAAGGGGATCAAATTCCTGGCTCAACAAACCGAGGTGCCACATGGTGTTTTTGTTGGCGAGGTGTGGAGTGTTGCCTTTAAACTTCCACATGTTTCATTGGATATGACCAATAAGTATATTATATATATATAGACATACACTGTATATGAAGGGTTCCATGGCTTGAACGGTACTGAGTGACCGAGTGTCGATTTCCAACGGCAAATGCGCGTTTTTATATATTTTATTTTCTCTCTCTCTCTCTCATTCAACTTTCGGTTGGCAATGACAAAGTTGCCAGGCGGACGGCAGGATGTAGTCGAAGGCAGACACACCTGAGAAGGCTCAGTTCGTCAGTTCCCCCGTTGTAGCCAAACATGTGTATATATATATAAGTAAAATAAGTGCCTTTGCAAACTGCAAAAACCGTGTCTCACATTGGATGTGGCAGCGATGTCAAAGGTCGAGTCATGTGTGTTATGCCAAGTGCAGGGCGATCGTTGGTCACCATGACCACGTTTGGACCAGAGAAGTAGATGCTTCGCACCTGTCAATTGTGAGAGCTTGGCTCTTGAAATGACAGATTCGGAAAACATGACGTTAGCAGCATCAGATCTTTCTATGCTGGTTTCTATCTGGTTCCCAAGCCTCAAAAGATCAGTCTTTGCAGCACAGGTCATGAATCTCCAATGGAAACTGCTCACTCACAAAGTCAGGCTTTCTGCATCACTCAGCCATCTGGTTTCTACTGTAGATTCATGACACCAAAGCACAGGGCATTGTCTGTAAACTTAGTTTCCAAGACAGGACAACATGCCAGGAAACTCTTGGAATCAGGACATCCCCCAACTGAATCGTCTCCAAGTCTCCCTTCCCAAACTCCTGGTCGATCCAGCAGATCAACCGGTGGTACTAGCTCCCCTTCACATCCTCTTCACTAGATCCCAGGTCTGGTAGCTCCTACTGGTGCCACCTGCACCAACCCCCCTGGCCTTGCCCTGTTTCTGATCTCCCAGTTCAGGCACATAGCACTCGGGCAAAGTGAGGTCCAGGTACCTCGGCCGTGGGCACATGCGTTCCAACATGGCGAATTATGATGATTGGAACAACACCAACACCACAACTCCTGATTGAGGTTCCATGTCATTCTGGTCTTAACAATGCATCATGGGCTGCTTTCGCGCATGGACTATGGGCTTACACAAAAAGCTGTCATTTGGTCCGCAATGCCATGTTATGCCATGTTCAAAGAGAAGGCTCCAACCTGCAATCTTGGCGCGGCTGATAAGATTTTGTCCTTAAAATATTTTTTCCAACATTAGATTACAACAAAGCCGCTGATCCGTTTGGGTCTAAGCACACACTTCTCTTTGCTTATCATTCTTATTGGGTGATCCTTGGAGGCAATCAATCTGGTCAAGCTACAATCACTCGCTCGAAAGCCGCCAACTAACTCCTCACCATTGGACTCCCAGGAGGTTGAAGTCTTTTTGGGTTGCTCGTGGACAAACAGCCCTCCAGCAGTGCAAACGAGACACTCGCGGATCTTGGCCTTGATTGTGGCTTCGCTGTTCACCTCAGCGCAGTCTTTCATTTTCAGTCATTCCTAGCTAAGGAACGAGGGAACCACTTCTGATTGGTGACAACGACGTTCAATGAATGCAAGATCTGGTGAGAAGCTCCAAGCCTCAAGTTGGCATCAAGAGTGAAAACCTCATGGAGTACCCGGCATATCCAGGCATCTTTCATGCGACTCACCGTGACTATTCAGCCCCTGAGCCACCAGGCTGCCATGGCGAGGGAAGGCAAATTGGAGGTTTTGAGCCACTAAATCCAGAACTCAATTCAAGCAAAGAGTCAAGCTATACTCTTGGGCCTTGGGTTACTGTGCACCTGAGAGGAAAAGCTTATGCAAGGTCGTAACATCAATAACGAAGCTCCTGGGCTAGAATTCTGTCCTTTTGAGGTGTTCACACTCCTATGAAAACCATACCATTTTGTACCCGACCTGTGCTAGATGTAGGAGTGCTGTCCTCTTCATCCAACTACAAAGTGCAGAACACCGTGATAGTTAAGGCTTGGTGATTTCAGCATCTGCTGGCAAATTGATACACTGACACCCACCTTCGGTCTTCTCGTTCATCTCTTCTGCCTTCAAGATGGACCTGAGAGTTGCGCAAAGCTCCTCTTTTAAGTCAAGGTCCCAAAGTCTCTGAAGCCCTGAAGGTCACCTGCTGCTGAAATGGGCGACCTTGACGCAACATATGACGGTTGTAGGTAGGACGACTTCCTTTCATTTGTGGCTTCAAAACCTGGAACCACCTTGTTGTGGGTGTCTAGCAGGCGGTTGCTGGATGGCTCTTCATTTGGGGTATTGAAAAACACATTGTCTTTTGCAATGCCTTATCGGTCTATTTTACTCTTATCGTTTTCTTAGGTGTTCGGCTCTGTGTACTAGAAATCTGAATTTTCCAGCTTTCTGTGGGTGTGAACGCATCCTTGATCGAAAGTCAACAGATGTCATCTGTTCCTTCCATTTCGCATTCATTTCCTTTCATTTCGCATTAGTTTCCTTTCATGTTCCTTTCAATTTCCTTCAAAAGGCAACATGCTCAAACCGGTCATGTGGGTATCCTCCCAAGCGCTTGCATTGTCATATGTTGTTATTGTTGTTGTTTCCGTTTTGGAGGCCTGTGCAGGTTGCCATGTTCAGGGTTCATGAACATGTACATGTACAAACTCGTCATCTTTTTTCTTTAATTATCGTTTTCTGGGCCAGCAATGCATTACTGTAGCAAGACTAAACTGCTGAGCGCGGGGTTATTTCATCAGCCCATTTAGTGCTCTCAAGGAGATACAAACTAGTCGAAGGACCCGTTCAGTTTTCATCAATTTTCAAAACCTGATTGATGCTTGATGGTTCGGTCTTCCCCCAGATGACAGATGATGCAACTGTATCAATCGGATCTCTCAAGTTGATGACCAACGAAACGAGTGAATCGCAAAGATCCGCAATCCACGACTTCAAATTTAAACATGACCAGGGTGGCCAATACAGTTAGAGAAACCATCATGTTGAAGACTGGCCCTACTATGCCCCGCTTGCCTTCAAGCAATGTGTCTTGATTGCTTTCAATGCCGCATTTACACATTCCATACGGTGAATGCTGAGGCCAACACTCTGCTGGTTGCAGGCGTGGAGGGCTGCTTCCTGTGGAAAGTGGCACCACCTCAGCACTTCGATTGTCTGCAAAGACACCTTTCTTTGACTTGGATCGAGTTACGCACATGGAAGTTAAATTGGCGGTTTGCTATCTTTTCCACATCAGGATGGATCCATGATCCACATTGGGATTTGCTGGTTATCTTGGTGAATCTACAGGGATTCATCTCCATCTTGACTGTTCGATTATATACCTAGAGTCATACCTACAAGGCAAGAGCTCTTCCAAAGGTGGTAGATTGATTCGATGGCGCATCAGGGTATATAATGAACTGCCGTAGCAGCTAGCATATCGGTCGGTCCCTTGCATCGTCTCTGAGGATAGCAAAGCCAATCAATGTTCGAAAGGAACACCTCCCAAGGACAACACAACATGACACACCTCTGAAACACTCACAAATGGCACAAATGCATACAAAATGTATTATATAAGTGTATGTATATATATATATGTATTATATCATATCAATGTCTTCAAACATCTTCAAGCAACTTGCGGGGCTTGACAAACAGTTCCATTCTCAGAATCAACCAGTCTAATTTCACCAAAAAAACATTCGAAAGCGACATCTGCAAGTCCTGAGGCACCCCACCGCAGCATTGATATCCTGAACCCCAGAAAAGTCCAAGCGGACCATCGTTCGGACCGGAGAGCCCCCGAGCGGACGAGCTGGACCGGTCGCCAGTCTTCCCTTTTGGTTTTCTCAGGAGGCGATGCTCAAGGCTGCTTAGGAAAAGGTGAAGGACCAAAAACAGGTTAAGAGGCATCCAATGTTGGGCCACACGCCAACGATCTGAGGTGTCTTCGAGTCGCGAAGTGGTGCAGTGAACTTCCGTGCCACACAAGTCCTTGAACTGCGAATCGTCGCCATCCATCTCTTTCAAATAGTTTGTCATGTACTCGCCAGTGACCTGCATGTCTGAGTCCTGCGCTGTGGAGTTTTCAGAGTCATGACATTCTCTCACATTCTCTTTCATCTAACGGTTCTGACGATGCCTTCCTCCAACTCCAGGAGTTCCATGCCGAAACCTCCTCGTGACATGGCCCGGTAGTCCATGCCTGTTAGTACACCAGTCCCTTCACGCCACCGTGATACACCAGTCGGTGTCTCCATCACCACCTCCGGTCTCCTCCTTCTTCTCGCCCACGGTGAGGTTCATGGACTTCATGGACATGGCCATTGTGGCCGTCGCGCCTACGATGGTGGCGGGAACGGAGACACGTTGGGGTGTTCAACGCCATGACGTTGCACGGTGTTCAACACGACATGGGTGCCTCTTTTTTTCCTCAAGGGAGATGGACACTCTCTTTTCACAAGCTATGGCGGGGGAAAAAGATGGGAAAAGCATCAAGCATCAGGTGATGCATGATCGTGTGATCACAGGATTTGGGGCATCCTCCCTTCGGAGAATGTTTAAAATTCCAGGCATCGAAAGAATGAGCCTCTTGAAATTGCTGACAACAAGATCTTTACAGCTGCACTGGTTTGGATCTCGAAAGTTCACTCCTGGAAGTGAGCATTGATTCGACTCCACCATTTATATTTGAGATGATTCATGCTGAAGTCAGGTTGCTGCTGCTCTGTTTTGTAGCACAGCTTAAACATGTTTAAAACACCAACAAGTGCCAGTGAGTGGTGAGTGTGCACCGAGCCAAGCTACCCACCCTATGCATTATGCGTTCATCATCAAACTCCTAGCTTGCACTGACAGGCTTGCAATGTCAAACGACGCTAGAAGCACACCTGAGCCTACAGTTGCGTATGGTCGTGGATGGTGCATCTACTGTCTAAAGTCATCCTCAGAGTTGGTTGGTAGTCCAGAGAGTCCTCAATCCATGTTGAGTCAGACCGTCCCAAAAGCATTCAATGCCCTGCATTGTCCATCTGTTTGAGCGCAGCTTTAGCTTAGCCGTTCATGAGGAGAAGCTACCCCCGCACAAAACAACCGGAGTACCGATGGCCTGGTGAAGCCGTTGGTTGCCCCTTCTCCTTTGAAGAATCCTGACACACTTGCAAAGCTTGGCGAGCTCAGAGTTGCTCTCTTATACACAGTTACCCACACAGAGATAGAAATGGATGGAAACGATTCAACATATTTGATTTCAAACATGGGGTTTGTCCATGCTGAACACGAGTGAGCAGGACGCTTCCCTTCCTTCTATCTAAAGTATTTGGGGAGCACTCTCACAGTGAGTTTCCAATGATTTCCTCCTTATCCCCCCCCCATTCGGGTGTGAGTTGAGTCTGATGGTCCAGTAATATCCAGCATTCATATTCTGAATACCTAGTAATTACAGGATGGCCGAGAAGGTAAACACTTCACCGTCACCAACCCTTTGGTATTTGAAAGCATGCCATGCCGCTTGACTGAGTTCTGAGCCGCTTGACCAGTCGAGCCCATCCTCGGCCATGCCGTGCGGGCGCATGTGGACGCACGTTATTCTTTTTCAGTTTTTTGGTGTTGGAAGAGAAAGACTAGACAATTATTGTTCCTAGTAGTACGGCCAGGAGCCCCGTTCGTAGCTTCTTGTTCCTACTGCATCCGAATTCTCGGCTGGACCTGGTTTTGTCAAAGAGGCTTGGGGAAAAGCATAGACCAAGGTTTGAAGGGACTGCATGGGATTCGCACAGAAGCAACAAATCGCCACAAGCAACATTGGAATGCGACGATCAAGCTGATTCATGTTTTATCGTATAATGTCGTATAACCTTCCCCAACACATTTATCTAGTAACTTGGGATAGTCATGCCCGCCCCCCAAACAGCAAGACACGATTTCAAACCACCACCCACTTTAGCAACGACATCTTACTGCCAAAGGCACGTTCCCACCTGCCCTTTGCCGGTCTTGCTCTTGAAGATGTCGGCGTCCACAGGCTTCACACGGCCACTCTGCCTGGGTTCGGGTCGAGTCTAGTCGAGAACTGTGAATGGATGACATCCTGATGGCCAACAAGGGGAAGACACACTTCAGGAGTTCCACTGAAGGACAAACATCCTGGATCTGAAACGATTCCTGTTCGGTTGGAACCCAAGGAATCCGTCTCTTTTTGTGGCATTTCTTCCTGTCTGTTTATGGAGGTCAACAACTTGCAGCTGAGCCACTCGGTGGGTTCCTTCTTGTGCTTGGCAATGAACGCCTGAACAAAATCAAGCGTCTGCGCCGAAACATTGGCTTTTGCCCTAAGACCTTGTTGAGCATTCGCAAACTGTGGGGGCTTCAAGTTCAAAGTTGGACATTCCTTACACAATCTCGTGTTACCCCGGCCCAAAATGACATCTCTTTTCATACAAGAGAAGTCTCTTGTGTTCCGCCGCTCTTTGAGCCGCGCAACTCACTCACCGGTGTCGCTCCGGACGCTCATGCCGGCCGCTGGCGTACTGCGTGGCCGGCGGCCGCCGCGACTCGGCGACGGTTCGGGAGCTCCCACGGCCGTCGCGGTCGTTGGACTGCACCGACAAGGAGTTCCGGGGCACGGTGCGGTTGATGGAGCGGGCAGAGGTCGAGGGCGTGATCATGACCACGTCATCATCCTGGGATGAGCGGATTCTGAAGAACTGTGGCCCCCAACCAGCCACCTTTAATCCTCAACAAAGTCCAAACGACTTCACAAATCGACATTGAGGTTTCGGATGTTGTATCATTCGGTTTCATGGGAACCTATGGGAATATTAAATCAAAAGAATGGTCTCTTCACTGCAGGCATCCCGGCGCTTGGTCTCGCCGTGCCGCGGCCTCTTTTCCGGCCTCTCCTCCGCACCACCGTTGCGCGGAGGCTCTGGGCGGCGCTTGTGTTCCCGATCTTCTTTGGACTTCTCCTCTGCGCAGCGACCGGGCCGGTGTGTCTCAGTATCTTAGGAAGCCACATGATCCACATGAGCCCACTAGAATCACCAACTATATACATCTATATACCGGTATACCAATATTATACAGTGGTTTCAGAGGTTCGATGGCGCAAAACCCTACATGACATTGTCTTAGACAAATGGGGGTCCGTTTTTGGACCACCTTTTTTGGGATTCTGCCAATCCACCGGTCTCAATTTTTGGTACGTCCGGCGAGGTTGATGAACATCCATTGGCTGAGACATGCTTATGCAAACACGTGACAAACTGCCACAAAGCAGTCGCCTGGCGCTTCGCCCTGACCAAACGCTTCGTCTGAAACACATGTGCTTCGCCGGAGAACGGTTGAAACATCGCTTCGCTCCTTGACTTCTTTTCCCTCCTTCACCTCTTTCTTTTGACCTTCCTTTGGCTTAGCCTTTGCATCCTCCTTGGCTTTCGCAGACGCTTTGGGTGGCTCTTTGATCTCCTTCCGCTCCTTGGACGGATCCTTGGGAGCATCTTTGGAGACATCTTTGGAGGCATCTTTGGGAACCTCCTTGGGCACCTCCTTGGAGACCTCTTTGGCATCTTTGGAGGTCTCCTTGAGGGCCTCTTTCGACAAGTCCTTAGGCGCTTCCTTTGGCTTGGGCGCAATCTTCGGCGTTGATTTGGCGCTCTCTTTGGCTTCCACCTTGATCCAGTTCTTGCTGCATGCCTTCAGCTTCACAGCAAGGGAGTTGGCCAAGGTCTTGAGGTCATTGGCCTTCTCACGGTCGCGGACATTCTCCACGCACTGAAGCACACCCCTGGCGTATCTCTCCAAGACAGGATAGCTATCACAGGACTCACTGAGGAGCAGCAAGGTGTTCCTCTTGTCGGACCAGTCTTCCGACGACTCCAGATTCTGCCGCAAGACCTTGTAGATCCGCCCCTCCCACTTGCTGTGACCTCGCACGATGTCCGCATGCTTAGCGAACTCAATCGTTGTCTCAACGTTGTTGGAGTCAAAGTGATGCCGGTGGAAGCATGGATTATCTTTCATCTCTTGCTCATAGGCCTTTTCACTCTTTCTCAAAGTGCACACATATGACATCATCTCTCGTAGGAGAAGGCCGCCTTGGAAGAATTCTTGTTTAGCTCAAAGATCTGTTCCTATGTACTAGAAAGAAATCTGCATGTGTTCCCATTCATCCTTGATCTCAGCCTACGTGTGGTCTTGCACTTGAACGGGGGGCAGCCGACCGAGGCACCAGCCGACCATCTTGAGCCGCTCGACCACTGGGCCCAAGATTCCAGCGGTTTTTTTGACACGGTCACCAGCTACAGCTACCAGCTGTTTTTCAGGGAAGGCACAGCTATGGCCACAAAGGATGGATGGGACACACTGTGCTTCACCCCAAGAAACAGTGAGCCCATGTTCACAAACCCGTCCAGGGGGATTTCCGATGGAAGGGGATAGAAATGGGTTTGTTCTTCTTGACTGCAATAAACAACCAGGGGCAAACAACAAAACAATGGTTTTGTGCAAAAGACAAGATGGAGCCCACGAGCCCGAATGCAAACACGTTCAAAAAGCTACATATGTCCAAATGACACTCTTGTAGGACACTCTTGTGGGACACTCTTGTGGGTCACTCTTGTAGGAAACTCTTGCGGGACACTCTTACGGGACACTCTTGTGGGACACTCTTGTGGGACACTCTTGTCGGACACTCTAGTAGGAAACTCTTGCGGGACACTCTTGTAGGACACTCTTGTGGGATACTCCTGTAGGACACTCTTGTGGGACACTCTTGTGGGGCACTCTTGTGGGACACTGTTGTAGGAAGCTCTTGTGGGACACTCTTGTGGGACACTCTTGTGGGACACTCTTGTAGGGCACTCTTGTGGGACACTCTTGTGGGACACTCTTGTAGGAAACTCTTGTGGGTCACTCTTGTGGGACACTCATACGGGACACTCTTGTGGGACACTCTTGTGGGACACTCTTGTAGGAGACTCTTGTGGGACACTCTTGTGGGACACTCTTGTAGGAAACTCTTGTGGGATACTCTTGTGGGACACTCTTGTGGGACACTCTTATGGGACACTCTTGTTGCACACTCTTGTGGGACACTCTTGTGGGTCACTCTTATGGGACACTCTTGTCGGACACTCTTGTGGGACACGCTTGTGGGACACTCTTGTGGGACACTCTTGTGGGACACTCATACGGGACACTCTTGTGGGACACTCTTGTAGGACACTCTTGTGGGACATGCGGGACACTCTTGTGGGACACTCTTGTGGGACACTCATACGGGACACTCTTGTGGGACACTCTTGTAGGACACTCTTGTAGGAGACTCT